CCCGTGCCACGTGGTCCGCGGCCATTTTTCTGCCCGTGCCACGTGGTCCGCGGCCATTTTTCAGCCAGTTCCACGTGGTCCGCAGCCGTTTTTCCGCCCGTTCCACGTGGTCCACGGCCATTTCCCGCCCGTTCCACGTGGTCCGCGGCCGTTTTTCCGCCCGACACGTCCGCGGATGCCGGAGCGGATTAACAGTAATTACATTGAACCTTATGGGAAAATTTACTTCGACTTGCGACCAACTTGACTTGCGATCAGAGTCACGGAACGGATTAAGTTCGTAAGTAGAGGTACCACTGTAACTACATTTATTAGTGCCTGGAAACCTCTTATGGACTTTTTGCTGAAAAAAGAAAAAAAATGAAGTTGTGATTTACGGGTTTGATGATTGGAAAGGGTAGACTATGGAAAGAAGGAAATTATGTTGTAGCCTTAGAGAGAGAGGGTAAAATATAAATGTACTTGTAATTGCTGTTATGAGGACCGGAGGTGGCTGCTTTATAACTTTTTCTTTTCTCTTCGTCTTTTCTATTTCTTTCTTTGCACTTTTTTTCCAATGAATTTATTACTTTCCTTTTCTCTTTCAAAATTTGTATTATTTTTATTCTTTTAAAAATTCTTAATAAAAATATAGATACACACACACACAAAAGAGGTATAGCGTCAAGATCATAGAAGTTATAGTACCACTATATGCTGCACTGGTCAGATGGTACATGGAATACTGCATCCAATTCTGGCTGCCGCAATAAAAAAAGGTACTGAGGAACTGGAAAGAGTACAGATAAGAGTAACAAATATGGTAGGTGGCTTGGAAGCTAAATCCTGTGAGGAATAGCTAAAAAAATCAGATACATTTAGCCTAAAGAAAAGGCTAAGGAAAGGCACGATAGCAATCTTCTAATGCATGAAGAGATGTCACAGGGCAAAGGGTGTGGATTTATTTTCCTTGGCACTCAAGTGTAAGACCAGAACAAGTGGGTAGAGGCTCCAAACTTGAAATAAAGAATTTGCTGACTGTGAGAACTATTAAAGAATGGAACAGATTTCCTGACATTTCACCAGCAACTGTGGCTGCTATCTTCACAGACAAGGTGACCTGCTGTGCAGACCACAGGTAATTAAGCAAGGACTGACTGGGCTCCTCTTTTCATAGCCAGGTGTCCTGACTTTTGATTGGTTAGGATACTTGGCTATAAGGTCAGGTGTCCACACCAAAACAACGAATCAGGATCAGGTACAAAGAAAGGACCAATCAAAGACCACCCCTCACCAACCTGTACCAATTGGAAACCAGCTCAGCTAAAGACCAATCAGAAGTCAGGACACATGGTTATAAAGACAGGAGCCCAGTCAGTCCCTCCTTAGTTGCCTGTGGTCTGTGTAGCAGATGACCTTCCCTCTCAAGATGGTAGGCATAGTTGCTGGCAAAACATCAGGAAATCTGTTGTCTAGCCTGCAGTGGCTAAACCCTGAAGCCCAACAATGCGTAACATTTAAATGAATAGTTTGCATTTTAGAAACTATAATAGTTCTTAATGATTAATGACAACTAATAAAGATGATTTGAACTTTTACTGTATGATTTTGGTGTTTCTTTTTGTTTTTTGCCAGATCTGTCTATTTGAGTGTAGAGTATACAGCTTTTTTTTTAATCATGTGAGCTGGATGAGAGCATGATCTTAGTCAGTGATGGTAGTAGTAGCGTTGTGTCCCTGCTATCAGTGATTTGGGGATGGAGAGAAAGACTAGAACTCTTCCTCCAAAGCCAGCATAGGAGACAAAAAATTATTTGTTCAGGTTAGCTTCCAATAATCACTGTCCCACAATGTATTATGTTCAGGCCCATGTTTCTCATATAGACTGTACATAAAGTGTCAGAACCATGAATTAAGACAATTATAGCACAGATAATGAGGCATATTAATGATAAAGCTTTTTATTCAAATTAAGCTCAATGACATTATTTACAGTCTGCATCAAATGCCAGCACTAACCTAATGAATAGACTCCCTTGCTCCCGGCTCCCAAGGAGTTAGAACTTCAATACCTAAGCAATATGGCCCCTGTGTTAGGTTTCACCTATTTTATATCTTCCAACATTATTGACTAACTGGCTAGTGATAGGCCTTATTGGAATTCACTTCTCCACTTATTTATTATACTCCATTTTACTTATATAGGTGTGACTATCATCATTTCCAGTAAAAGTCAATAAGAGTTGCTTCTAATAATCTAATCTTAGATTGATGTTTCATTTCTGGCTGTTTTGGACATATCTTAATCACAAAATTGTGTGTGTATCTTAGTAAATGTCCAGTGTTTCTTTTACGTTGCTGTTCCTATAATTTCTGCAAAGGCTTGCTCGGCTTAACAAGTTTTATTGCATTATTGATCCTTTTATAAAACTGTGTGATACATTTTCCCTTAGAAGAGAGTAGTTATGCTTGTGTCATTTCTTGCTACTCCTCTAACCCGCTATACTAGATCACTCTATATTCCTGACCTCTATAGTTCTGTGCAGAGAGAAAGGGGCATCATCAGATTGTTGACCGTGAGGGACTGAATTTGGAAGGAGGGCTTCAGAGAGGTGAAGAACCCACATTGATCCTTAAGCAGACTGAACTGCTAAAGGACCAATCTGACTGATCTGGCAGAGGTCTCTATTGTAAATTCTAAAGAAAAAAATCATATTTTTTGGTAAACAAATTATGAACACATCATGAAGTGGGCATGTTGAGTATTTGTATTGCAGATTATCAAAGATTTTCAGCTGCTGGTGATGTTATCACTGTTAGTCCTGGCTGATACTATCCTGCTCTTGATATGGATCTTCTTAGACCCAGTCCAGTGTCTCCAAAATCTTAATGCAGATGTGAAGGTAAGATAGGGAGAGATTCAGATCAGAGGACTGAATATCAAATAATAAACATTAACCTTTTTTGTTTGAATCATGATGGGAAACCTATATATTGCTCCCTCCACTATAAAAAAAAAGGGATATTTCTGCTCCCCATGCATATTAGAGGCACTTATGAACATAATCTAATGCAGGTCATTCATGGATAATTTCTGAGTCAAAAGGTTGGCAAGGCAAACTGGAGATTACCTGTAAGACACAGACATACACAGAGTTAAGAATATATCACATTTTATTGGTTTTATCACATTTTATTTTATGTACTAACTGACATCAGGCTTGTTTTTTTTTTCTTCTGCTTAAAATCTTTAGTCCCCTGTAGTGTCCAGTTTCTAAAATCATCACTTATCTTTTGTTAGGACTTGCAATAACCAGGATAGTCAAAATAAGTCTGTTTCTCATGAGAAGTTGTTTATTTTTTATAGTTAATTCCAAAATCTTATAGTAAAAATCAATATTATCTGGACGCTTAATCTGTTTATAACTTTCTTAGATCAAAATCCTATTTAGCTTTTTGCTGTTTATTTCAAATTCTTTGAGTTCTTAAGCTTGTAATTAATTTTGTTCAGAGTTGAAGAAAAACTCACCCGATGAAGACTTTTCAAACTAGTCATTCTGAAGATCTCTAGTAGCTTTAAGATAGTTAATAGGCAATTTCCAAAAGTGATGAGAAAGTGAGGTTTGCAAACTTAGTGTCCTTTAAAAGGCTCCACCGCAGTTGTGAGCAAGATGTCTGATCTCATTGTCTCCTGGTGCTCAAACCTGCGGAAAACAAAACAGTGAGCAGCCGCCAAGAGCACATGTGGATGATCTCCTGTCTTCTCCTTATCTGGAGAGGTTCCAAGGAACTGGTTTACTCACTGGTTCCCTGGTTTTTGCTGTGGTTGTCAGCTCCTCCCTCGCAGAACCATCTTCAGTTCACCATACCTCCCTGGAAGCCCTATTTGCAGAATTAGAAGCTAGTCAGAATTTCTGTTGTAAGGAATATAAAAGGCACTGAGATTTTAAAAAGACATGTAGATCATTACTAATCTCAGAAAAAAACATTTGAAATAGGATAGGAGAAAAGTTAGGGTTAAACATCTTTCTGCATACCTATGGGGAGGTAAGGGATATGAATCTTCTGGATCAAGTATCTCTGATTTGAAAATACCCTTCCACAGAACAATGACAAAAGCAGTTGACCTTTGGACTCTGTATTTGCCAGGAAGCATAGATTTTAAAGTTGCATTGCCCCATCAGTAAGCCAAGGCTTACTTTTAATGATGATGGGTCCCTGCATTCTTAAACTTGGCTTGGGATGAAATTCTATTGCTAGGACTGAACTTTGATATATGTGCAGAAAACTGAATGCCTCTGCACATGTCCAGAATAAATTCTGTTTTAATTATGAAGCATAGCTTCTCAGTTAGAAACTAAGACTTGCAGAACAGAAGGATTCATCTGAGACGTGGGGGAAAAGAAACAACCCAATTTGAATGCTAAGCCTGAATTTTAGAACCTGTGAAGCAGTTGTATAAGAAAACACCCTGTTTAAACTCTCCTGGCCTTAATATTTACATTGTTTTTCTGTCATTACTGAGTTCATGGAGACTATGTGGTCACTAAGAGTCAACCGTGACTTGATGGTACACAATCAATCAATCATTACTGCATAACCACAGGGCATCCCCTATGAGTGAAAGAACAAATTGCCATATGGGCCACTTGAAAGAGACTCATAAAACTCACTAGCAGCCATGTGATCTTGCTTGATGGAAGCATTGTATCAGTTGCATTCTTGAGTGTGCAGGTAGTCCCCAGAGTAAGAACACCCCATTTACAGATGACCCATAATTAAGAATGGAGGTTATTGTAGCGAAATTCAAGTTAAATACACAATGATTTGAGTTAAATACACAATACTGTACTATAACAGTTTACATAAAAATTTGACTTAAGGACAGACCTTGGGAACGGAACTCATTCTTAAACTGGGGACTACCTGTAGTGAGGAAGAGCCCAAGGAATGTACTTAGATATCTGCTTCTGTGCTGAGAGTTGGTAAATCACAAAAGTTCTTTGTGAGGATTTTGAGTGGCAGATGGAAAGGAAAAAAAAAATCAGCTCCAAAATTATCTTATTTTCCCTTTTTTAGCTTTGTAAAATCCAATGAAGGCTTTAATGAAACCAACATTATATAACTATTAAAACATAATTGGCCTAGAAAAGGTACAGTACTGCCTTTTAGAATGCTCATTTTGAAATGAAAGGTACTTAGTTTTGTTTTTCACATTTAATAGCAAATTACAGAAATCAGAGATCACTAGCATATGGAAATCTAAGAGGAGTAAATGATAAAGGTCATGAATGAATGAATGAATGAATGAATGAATGAATGAAAAATAGTGTTTGTGGATCTGTGAGAAAGAGGGAGGATATAATAGATCTGAATGAAGGTGGTATGGTCTTGTGGAGGGAAGTTGAGTACATGCAGGGAAGAGTAGGTTTAGCTTTAATTATGAATGAAAGGGCTAAATGTGTGTTTGAAATAATGAATTGTTGTCATCTAGGTTGTTAATGTATTTGAAAGTAGGAATCCATAGATTGGTGATAGTTGCATGTTATACTCCAGAGAGAACCAAAACGTACTCAGGAGATATGAATGGATACTAGGGAACAAACCAGATAATACAAAAATAAAGTCATTGGGCCATTTGCAGGCCCAAGAATGAATGAGAATAGTGACTGGTGAGAATCTGCTTAGAAAAAGTGCTTTTGGTTTTGAGTGCATGATTTAAATTTAAGTTTGTTCATGCATGCACGTGGAGAAGAAATGAATTGGAAAATGTTATTGATTTGATTGGCTTTTTTCTTAAAATGGTATTGGACTAGCAACTCTTTTAGCTAGCACAGGAGATGTTTTTATTTTATTCCGCTGCTATTGTTTTCTTTTTTTGAAACCACATTTTATCTAATTTTACTTAAGATTTTACCTATTTTATAAATTTAAGCTCCTGATTTACAATTTAAAAGCATCTGACACTATGGGTAGGAAAAAGAGACACAGAACCAGCCCTGGAACTTTGAAACCAGTCAAAGCAACAAAACAACTGAAGATTAATGAGTTCTTCATCTCAAAGGTTTCTACTGAAGACTTAATCTCCCGGAATCCTATAAACAGATTCAAAGTGCTCTTCCAAAAATGAGATGAAGTGCCAAATTCTCCTCTCCCTAATGAAGATGATGGGCTCCTATAGATTAAGCACACTGGCTATTCTGAAGAGAGCATTTGAGGCACCTATGCCTTTAATGATATCCCAGCTGATGAGTTAAGTGATCCCTGTCTGATTTCTTGGCTAAATATTGTCTTTTAACTGCTCAAACTGTAATAGCCTTGTTTGAGCAACTAGTAATTATTTCTGTAAAAACGGAGGATCTGAAGAAAACTTTTGATGCCCTTAGAAGAAATAGCAAGCAAATTTATCCCCAACTCTTTGATTGATAAGTAGCTTATTAACAGCAAATTTTGTGCTCCCTTAAGCCCAGATAATAAAAGAGACTCTTCCCTCATATATCAACACGGACAATTAGTTCTGGCTCTTCGTAATAACAGTATAAATGTGGGAAGATGAATTTCCGTTGGGTTTGTTCATTTTTTCCCTAAGCCAACTACATAGCCCTTGGCCTTTGTTCCTATTAGCTTGGCTCCCCAGTATGATTGGCAGAAAATGATTCAGTTGTTCTTTAGCAATCCAGCAGTACCATCAATGCTTTTAAAAATGAGGATCTTTCTGAAGACTTGAAAACCCCATTTGGGTGTTCACTGATCAAAATGTGAGACCCCTTATAAATAATATAGTGCCTCACACACTCCAAAATGCTTTGTCTATCTCGGAGAGATGCCAAGTTTCTTCTACTTTATCTCTGACCATGGTAGCAGGAAGTGCAGCGAAATGTTTCACCAACACAAGGAAAATATTGCTTGGTCCTTTTGAAAGTGAACTGATTATCTCTTACAGCATGATGACTAAAGACAGAGATATTCACAATTGAAGGGTTTGCACAAGCTGTGAAACTGGTCCAAGAGAAAGCAAAGCCCCTTACTGCTCTACTTAATTGAATGGCAATTAAGGGCAAAAGAGAAACAGCTAGACCCCAAAGGCACTGTCCTTTCATCCACAAAAGGTAATTTTGATCTTAGGTTGGACATCAGGAATCCAGGGGAAGCAGCTCAAATGGACACCCAATCTAATAAATGCTCACAAGCTGCCTTCCTTTTTCCAACTGATGTTCTTGAAAGGTATAATTATGCATTTTTCTCAGAAACAAATTACAGCTCTAGACAGACTGACACTGATCACAGGTGTCAAGTCAACTTTATCGAGGATCCCTTGGGAAATATCCCTTGGGAAATATCCTTGGGATGTACTCCAGTGATGTCATCTCCACTGGTCTGGATTTCCATTGGATATACTGTGGATTCACCCACTTAGCCTCCTCCCCAAATAGCTATTAAAAGGTCTCATGTTCCATCATTAGTGAGGACCACCTAGGTGGACTCTATCTTTCATCCAAAGTGCACATCTGAGAAATTCATCCCATCCCTCCCCAGCAGAATCATCTTCAACAGAACTGCAAGCCCAGTTTTGTAATCAACCCTCAGGCTGGATAAAGGACAAAGGGGGACTTCCCTGATTTTCTGGAACATTGTTGGATGGAAAACCAAACAGGATGACCCATATTTCCTGGACTTGGAAATAGAGTTTTAATATGTTATAGGAAATCTGATTTCTAGAGTCCCCAGTATTACAAGGTTAATAAGTGCATTCTGTTAATGATGTCCCTGGTGCCACAAGATGTCATGCCCAAGAAGGCATCTGTACACTCGTATCAAATAACCTGTTGAACCTGATCACACAATTGGAGTCATGTGACTACCCAGCAATAGCTTCTAGGGTCAGTTGATCCAGATGTGCTATTTTAATTTTAAATGTCTAACTTCCCCCTTTCAGGTTGCTTTCTGGATGGGACAAACTGGAGAGCTATCTGTCCCAATTTATTTGGGATTATCCGAACTCTGGTCTTGTATTGATAAGAGATTTTAATGCCAGACCTGGCATTAGTGACAAATTCAGCTGTTCGGCTCCCGAGGTTCTAGTACAATCATTTTAACCTCGTACAATGTTTTAAATCTAGTAGCTTCTTACTGCTGGATAGGGATCACTTGTCACTATCACTTCACCTGGGTCTTAATCCCCTTTTGACTACAGAAGCCTTAGCCATGTATAATGCTCTGATACATTGAATGTATTGTTTTCGCCAGGGGGTTGGGGGGGTGGAGTGGGTTTTGTATTGAGATTTTTATTCTTGTAAGCCACCTGGAGTCACCTTGAGTGAGTTGGGCAGCCTTATAAATTGTTTAAAGAAATAAAATAAATACACAACCTTCAGAGTTCATTATTAACTCATTAGCACCTCATGAGCAAATCCTGTCTTAGGCAGAAACCCGTTTCACTAAGACTTCATGCAAACCATGGTAGATCTAGTGACAGCTTTCAAACATTACAAACATTTCAAATTTAGTAACTGTCCCACTATCAAGAATCAGATATTTGATCTTAAAAGAAGTTACAAAACCTAATAAAAAGCAATTTTTTTACATGGGCTACACACTACACTACATACATAACACAATTGGGAATGACTTTTTGAAATTACAAAGGATAGAAGTGCCACCCTTTTCCTGGAAAATAATTTCAAGCACCTCAACCAACATGATGTCTCAGCCAAAAACTAAGATTCTGCCTAAGGTGGAAGTAGTTCTGTAACATGCTATACAAGTTCTCTCCCACTAGCCCTGTGCCTCAACTTGTGCTCAGTAGCTTAGCATTTAGTACGCAACATACCAATCTTTTATTCACAAAGTAATTTTATTATAGTTTTAATATTTAAATTTCTTAGTAACTTATTGTGTGCATAGTGTTACAGTATTAATACTATATTCATCTCATAGATTTTATTTTTCTGTAGATTTTAGAAATACCTGCTTTTTAATCTGTAGTGTGTACCATCTTAATTTTATAAACTGCTGGTCAGTGACTGGAATAAAGTTAAGTCTCAATTGATTTAATTGTTTATGATTGAAAGAATGAGAGAAAAATGCAAGAGTAATGAGAGGTTCTGAATGTGGAACAGACCATTATTTGGTAGTATCAAGAGTAGACCTTTGGGGGGAAAATGGAAGAAAAGGAAAACAACGAAAAAACTAGAGTGAAAGTAGAATGTTTCCAGGAACAGAAAGAATGAGTTGTGTATAAAAAGGAATAAAAATACATTCACATCCCAGGAGAATGAATAGAAAATTGATGTAAGGAAAGAGCATGTGAAAACTGCTTGGAAAAGAGTGAAAAGAATGTTACGTGTTACAAAAGTCTGTAGTTTCCCAGATGTGTAAAAGCTGAAGTTTGTGAAGCAGGGATCAACTATTTTCAGATTAGACAGAATCGTTATGCAAACATGGAACAGGATGAATTCGATACTCAAGGCCAGAACAAGAATGACTAGGAATCCACTGACTTGAAAGGGTAGCAGGAAAGGACTAGAATTTCAATCTTGGACTAACAAATTGAATTATTTAAATAATTGATGTGCCAAAATTTACATGCTACTTATTTTCTGATTCTAGGTAGCTTACAACATATGAGATAAAACAATAATATAAAAGCCATCCCTAAAAGCCAATAAATACTAAACAACACTTAAAAACTGTAAGTAAATGTGTCTTCAAACAAGCTCAATTGTTCTCTTAAAGAAGATTGTTTTCATAATCTTCTGAAACATCATCAGGATAGATGCACACTTAACATTTGTGTGCAAGCTATTCTGAGAGGAAGTCAATCTCCAAGTCCCTCTCTCCTGCCTTTAAGAGTTTTTAACTTCTTTCTTTTAGCAATATCTTAGAATTAAATTCTATGATAGGAAAATGGAAATAAAGTGTTAAGATTTTGAACATATTGCAAACTAAGGGAGATACTTTAGCTATGTATTTCAATCTTTGGCAGGTCACTGACAAAGGCTTGAGTTGCACACTGAGATACGGATATATCTGTAAATCTCTCTATTCTGAATTTTGGTTTATTCTCCTTCTGGGATTTAAGGTATGTAATACATTCCAATATCTCATTGATAAGAGAAAGGATCACAAGCTCATAGTTTCTCATGTCTAGATACTTTTAAGGATTAGGTTTATTTAACTTAGAGATACTCTTTCTGTACAAATATTAATATATTCATAATGCCCAGTTGAGAAAGTTACTTCTTTTAAAACATCACATTTCTCAGCCAAAACTCTCAGAAATGATTTACCCATTGCATGGAAGATAGCTGGACAGAACCCTGATTGATGAGAGCATTGCTGCTTGGTAGGGGATTTATCAAGAGACAGGTGAGGAACTCTTCTTATTTATTTATCATTACTTCTGTGGGGACATTGAATTCAAAGCAACTTGTAGGAAATCCTAAAACTTTATAAAACAAGCTTAAAATAATTGCTACCACCCAGCATTTTCATTCTGCTATAATGTAACTTATAAAAGTGGGGGAGAATAATAGGACACCAAAGCCCTCCAAGTTGCACCACAGGAATTTAGGGGCAAAACACTGACTGTTGTAGGTTTGACATGGGATGATAACAAATACAAGGAGATGGGATGACAAGTCCTGTGAACTGGGTAATTTATTAGCAGACTATTACCTTCCCCAGCTGCCCTCTACCACCCAAATAAAGTACTGAGGTTCCATCATGCAGAATTGGAGAGCTACTTCACATATCACGGCTGGTAGAGGAGGGTATCATACTGCTTTTGCATCAAGAACGCTATTCTACCAGAACAAAATAGGCCATTCCAGGGAGAGGCAACCTTTAATTGGCTGCTGGTTACCTGGTGAGCTTATTCTGCTGGAGGCCCTGGATTTTGGTTGTTGCTGGTAAATGTCAAGTCTGTATTAGTGGACAATTAAGTGGATCTGGCATGCTGAAACCTGGTTGGGCAATGGCAGCGATGTCACCTGCTCTGAAATCTGCCTGCCCAGGTTTGGGTTTACATCTGCTTTGAATGCCAGGACAGGGGAGAAGGGTTGGTGGTGATCCTGAGAGAAAATCTGGTACCATCCAGTAGTACTGCTCATGTGGTGGTGGGCTTTAAGTGCCTTTACATGAAATTGGGCAGTACAGACAATATAGGGATTCTGCTCATGTACCATGTGGCTTCTGTAAAACAGAATCCCTTTCTGGCCTCTTGAATCTCATTGCTGGGCTGGTGTTTGAGTCCTCCTAGCTTCTACTGCCAGGGGACTTCGGTTACCATGCCCTGGAATTTCTGTGCTAGGATTCTAGGACAATCTAGGGATTCATGGCAGTCATAGGCTTGAACTAGGTTATCTTAGGCACGTGTGCTGGGCATGTAAGTGGCACTATTCCAGATCTAGTCTTCATGTCAGAGCAGCTATTATGTGATCTGAAGATGGAGGACATTATGGATAGTCCATTGCTGAGGTCAGATCACTCTCTGGTTTGCCTGAGGCAAATAGGTGCCTGGAATCCATGCAGGTTGGGAGGATCTATTAAACTCATCCACCCAGACACCTTAGGGAACAAATTGGATCCTGGCAGGCAGTTCTGTCAAGCACCTAGTTAATCCCTGTGACCAGGGTGCAAGATGAGATGGCTCCTGGCTTCTCCCCTTCCACAAGTCTGGAGAGGCTCTTGGATCAACAGGGAGCACTGGGAAATGAAATGGATGAAAAGAATGCTAGAGCATTGGTGGAGAAAGACTGGAAATGAACTTGACCAAACCCACATTTGAACTATCTAAATCATGGTGATAAAGGTAGGGAAACATTCTTACCCTGTCCTTATCATACGTTTTTATTATGGGGACTGAAACTTTAGCAAGATCTAGCCACAGGCTGTTATGAAAATTTTATCCATATGTGATTAGATTAATAGAATGGAAGATTAGACTTAATTCAGGTTTGAACCTACTAAAAAACTTTTCCTCTGTTCTTTTTAAGGGAATCCTGCTGACGTATGGAACTTACCTTGCAGGTCTAACAGATAATCTCAGTTGCCCACCAGTTAATCAGTCACTGACACTCATAATTGCAGTGGCCATTATTTTTCTCTTTATTGGAATTATGCTGGTGGTTAACAGTTTTTTCTACTTGTGGCACAATCTGGTGTATGGATTAACCTCAGGAGGAATCTTTGTCTGTACATCTTCAATAAATTGTTTGATTTTTATCCCACAGGTAAGAAAGCAGATGAGCAGTATTGCAAATTATTTTTCCCCAGACTTTTGCATATAAATATAAATACCTGAGGTGTTGTCATCTAAATTGAATAAATAAATAAATTAAAAATGGTTTATCTCATTGGTGAGATAACTATAGGTTACTTCACAAGAAAATGCAGTTGTATATCCTTAGCTCATAATAAATGTATTCTGCTTAGCATTCCAGTAAACCCATGACAGGAATCTGGTCATACTGGGACTTGCAAATACACTTTCTCAGCTGTGCTATATTCAAGGGCTTAAGACTATAGTTGGGTGCCACCCCAAACATCCTATTTTAGTACTACATAAATAAGTAGTAGAGTGTAGCAAGAAGAGGGAATAATTAAAAAAAACCCCTCATGGTATGCTTCTTTTTTATTTTAATGTCAGGATTTCATTAAATTGTATTTTAAAAGTTTGAAATAAAGGGAAATGCATTAAATTTAATCAGCTTAAATCTAATTCTTTCTCCTTTATATGATATTAGCCATTTTTTTGAAGTATGATTTCTCCGAATTTGAAATGTCTCTTTTAGCCTGAAAAAAATGCACAATTTAAATGTGAAGCACATAAACCCACACACTTTCCCTGCTGTGAACAGCTGTCATTGACTAGTAAGATAAGGATAGACAAAGCACAGAAAAAAAGAAAAAACATGCCAGTTGAATCAGACTCTGGATTCATGAGACAGTATTCTTCTTTTGTTCAGGCACCAAGGCTTCCACAATGTAAAAGAAACAAAGTTGAACCAATTTTGCAAAAGCAAAGTTCAGGTCAGCCAAGATATCAAAGCCAAAAATGTAGGGAACAAGTTGTCATCATCATCATCTTTTATTATATTCAGGCAGAAAGAAATAACAATTTATAAACATATAACACAATACATACATACAGAGTCCTCAGTTTTGCTAATAATAAACAATAACTTAAAACCTAAAATCTTTCTGTCCTATTAAACTCAACAGTGAGTTATGATTATACTGCACAGCTGGAGCAAGATAAAACATTTTTGCTCAAGCACAATCTGTGCCTCCTATAATATCAGAATACCTTGAAGGCTACTTGTGAGCTCTAGTTATTGACCTTTATAAAATGTGACATTACTTGCTTAAGAGCAATTAAATTCCACTGAGCTGGGGCAGCAGCAGAGAAGGCTCAGTTCCAAGTCACTGTCAGATAACCTCATGGAAACAGTAGGCTATCCTCAGATGATCTGAGTTAGTGGAGAGGCTCATATATTTTAGTGTAGCTTATTTATACTAATGTGTCTTAAATATTTGGCTTTGCCTCCCATAAGGTAAAGCCAAATATTTAATATTTATCATAAATGTTTATTGTAAAATGTGATAAAGTTTGAAATATAGGAAATTGTTTAATATGGGTGAATTTAAGGGTGAAGTTACTGTGGAATCTGCAATGAGTTTGTGAGTGCATTTTCAATGAAGCAATTAAGGAATTTGTTACACAGTTTGAGCACTATTTTGTTATTTATTTTGTGGTTAAAATTTGATAAACTATTAATTTTATCCCTAATAATATGTCATTATAACTGTTAGTATTATTCAAATGATGGATTATAGTATTTATTTATTTATATTTATTTATACATCACATTTATATAGCTGCCCATCTCACACAAAGCGACACTGGGCAGCGTATAACAATTAAAATAAAATAACAAATGCATTATGGCTGCTTGCTCCAGAAGACTCTGGGCAGCTTACAATAAAAACAGCTAAAAACAACCATGCCTATAAACTAAGACTACAGAAAAACTTAAAACAAAAATACAAAAAACAGAACTATTAAAAAGAATGATCCCTCCGCATCCAGCCACACTTCTGGGCACCACGTTCAACCACCATGTTCAGTAGTATATTGGATTACTTTTATCTTTGTGATTAGGAGATTTTAGTATCTTGAGTTAAAAATATTAGAGTTACAAATTACTCATTAGAAAACCACAGCTGTGATACAGGGAAAAAAAAAGAGATTTCAGGAACTTGCAGATTATAGAAAGTTAGGCTATGTTTCTGCAGTAAATTAAAGACTGAATGAAAACTGGTCCCTTAGGATTCTAATGGAGTAAAATTAATTTTAGGGGTAAAATTTGAGGGTTAGATTAGAGTTGGCAAACTTCTCATAACCAGGAACCACATTTAAATGGTTTTAGGAGGTTGAGGCCTATGGGCAAAGATGCAAAATGTGTGAGGCTGCATCCTGCATAAGGCAAGCATATTTCCATTTTGAGAGGACACTGAGGCACTGGGGTTATACTCTACTTTTTAAATCTGTACTAAAATTATTTTATTACAATTTTGATGTGTTTTCACCTCAAAGTAACAGGAAGCTGAAATTAGGCTGGAGGGAATTTGAGGTGGCTTTGAGGGCTATCTATGGTTTAGGATCACAGGTAGCCCTTCTCTTTCTGTAATTTGTGTGGTAATAACTGACAAATGATGTAATGAAGGTTATAAATGAGATGTATTAATTTCATCTTATCCCAAACTTAAGGTAGGATGCCCTTATTATACAAAGTGATTAAAAACCTAGGTACAAGAGTTTATTTCATGTATGTGATTCAAATATTTTGTGATGTACTGTGAAACATTTTGATACTATAGTGGCCACTGACAAAGCTGCTCCATTTGCTTTGTCCTCTTCTTTCCTTAAACAGTGAAATACCTGTAGTAAAATACTTTTTCCCAAAACATTGTGTTCAAGAGAGAGAAATGTAGACACAGGAAGCGAACCTTGCCCTCCAAACAAAGAGTGTGCGTGTACGAGGGAGAGGGAGACATTTACCCCTGTGAACAAAACAACAGAGCAATTTCAAGATACACCCCCCCCCATGTCTTTTTCCTTAGCTCTCACTTTTTGTCTATCCTTCTTTTTCTATCTTGGTTCTTTTTCTTTGCTTCTATTTTCTGATATGGTTGATCTCTAATTCTGTTTTAATGTTCAGCAGGTCAGACAGTGGAAGACTTTTGAAAAACAAGAAGTTGACATCAGCAACATGGCCAAATATTTTACAGGTTCCAACAAGAATTTCCACTCTACAATGTATAGTGATGAAGAGATATACCAGCTGCTAGGGGAGAAAAATACCATGATGCAGCAGCTTGCAGAGGTGGGAGATATTTACATAATCAGTAGAGAGAATGAAAGTACAGTAACTCCTCACTACACACCATTCTGACATATTAACATATTTAAAATATCTCATAGAATAAAAACTGAGCTTCAGATCTGAAAACCTGGGATAAAAGCAAGAAAAAAAATTCTGCCTCACCAAGCGATAAATATGGCAGACTCTTATTATTTGGGGAAATAGTATAGTATAGGGAAAACCACTATAGTCTATGGTGTATTTTTCCCCTGCCAGACATTTTAGAATGATAGGAAAAAGGTACAGGTGACCAAAAATCTGTATCATTAAAAAAAAAAAAAAAAAACCTTTGCTATCTGGAAGATTGCAATACCATAATAGAATGTGCTCTTCACAAAGAGAACATAGGTACAAATTGCTGAATAAGAAATTGTGCAAGAAAGCAGTTGCTGTGCACACTTCTCCCTTCACAGAGATGGTCTCATTTCTGTGCTCCCCCATATTTATTAGTGGAGGAAAATTTGAGAAGTTAGCCTTTTATAGGATCTCTCAATGCATACGGAAAACATAGTTCACTGATTGACTACCATTCCAGTAGCGTGTGAGAAATTCAGCAGGTACTCAGTAAATGATGCTAACCTTCAAAAGCAGTATCAGTTCCTTGGAAAGTATGAGTATATCCCAGCAGATCCTATCTACCATCATGGGTTTTGCTCCCATAATGGAAAGAGTTTAAATATAGCCCCTTCTCTGGCAGATGTGGCTTATAACCACTCCACTGAAAACATTACCAAGTGTCTTCAGTTAGTAAACAGTATAGAAAATCACTGGAATAAAGGAGGCAGCAAGGTACTTTTTGCAGCAATATCTGTAGGAATAGAACCCTAGGTTAAATAGGCAGCTATCCTGAGCAAGCAGAACCATTCTTAGAGTATCTTTTGGGTTTGTTCAAAACCACTTAAGTAAGGAGGACTAATTTAGAAGGGAAAAAATCCCCAAACCATGCAACCTGATATTACACATGAGCTCTGTGATGTTCCTTTCTCTTGAATTTTCTTTTTTCCTAAAAGTTTTAAAGATACTGACAACTCTGCAAGTACAGGAGATTGAGGTAGAATAATGTAACACTTTAAGCTAATAGTAGAAAATATAAGTTCCGGTGTTCTATCCTGTAGAGAAAAAATGTTAGTGTTTGGCAAAGGCCTTTAATATAAGATTGATAGTGATATTCTGTTTTTTTCCTCCTGTGTCTCTCCTTTATTGTGTACGTTTATTATGTATAACATTTATTATTAGCCAACATGATAAGTTTTGCTGAAGCATAACATTGATCACTTATTTCAATTCATTCTTCTGTATTGCATAGCAGGCCTGACTTTGTTATTTTATTTTTCAAATATTCATTTTATGCAAACTATAATTGTATCTGATGTATTTAAATCAAAACATTTACTATAGTTTATTTAAAACAGAAAGATACAGCAATTGCAAATCTTCAAGAACAAATGAACAGCGTTAAAGAGAAGTTGATGAGACTGGTGGCTATAGAAGATAACCACAGTGTTGCTGACTCTCCATTTCTTTCTACCTCCCACTTATTGCCTTCTCACTCTACAGCTAATTTTTCTTCAGTGGCAACTGAAAATCTACCCTTTTCATTTAGCCAGGAGCTGAAGCCATGGCAGAATTCTAAGCTCTCAAATTCACAATACATAGCAGGATCATTTAGTAAAAAAATGTGTGTTGATGACCTAGAACATACAGATCAAGAGAACATGTCATTAGACATTATCACTAAGTGCAGACTAGTGAATAAGATGAATTCAGGTGCTAAGTATGATGAAGATCAATGGTTTTCCCAATCCAGTGCTTTACTTACTAGGGAGAGGCTGCATGAACAGAATCTCAGTGCACTGAGCAAAGAAGCAAAGCAATCACAGTCTTCAGCAATGAACCAAAAACAAAACCCAGAAATGAGTTCTGCGAACAGTGAAAATTTTCAGGATATCTTGCAAGACCTGGGTGTGAATCACATTACTGTAATGCAGACATCTTCCAGGGGACCTAAGTACAATTATGAAAGCAGCATGATGTTGCAGCCAAAGAAGATTCAGAAGAAAATCCCCTTCCATCTTTCTGGGTCCATGGCCTCCAATATTCAGTGTAGTGTGAACAAATCAGCCAGCAGAATGCAAAGAATGAGCAGTAGATTAATAGAATATCCTTGGTCAGCACCAAGAAACACCAAGGATGGAGATTCTTTGCATCAGCCTCCGCCTTTGCCATCACTGGTGTTTAAGAAAGCACTCCAGACTAAGCCTGACAATGGGTTTGAACAATTATACAATGAAGGTTATGGCTTGTTGCTAGATAATCATCTAGTAGAGAACTGTGCATCCACATTTTATCCCACAAGCTCGAGGAATTTCCACTACCAGCAGAAAGATTTTCTGACAAGAGCTATTCCAGGCCTCCTTCCATTCCAGCATTTTTACTTTGATTCTGGCAGTAGTTCTTCTGGGGAGGGAACCTATTGCCACCAGACACAGGCTTGTGAAGTTTGCCATTACAGTCTCTCTTCTTCTAGTGACAGCTGTGTGATGATTGATACAGATTCTGAATATAGTATGACTTTAGATTCTGCAAAACTTTATAGCAAAGCTCAACCAATTGTGAATTTCAATGAAGATCTGGAACCCACGTATGTGTAAAAATAAAATGTGAATTTACTATAGATTTTTGTTTCCCAATAGTAAATGAGAATATCCTCAAAAGTGTTGCTTCTCCTGTAAGTTGTTTGAGCCTACAAGAATTAGTGGTATAGAAGCCCAAATAATATATTTTGTGTAGAATAATACCAATTTCAACCCTGCTTTGTCATACCTCTGCCAAAAAGTTCTCCATCCATCCATCCATCCATCCATCCATCCATCCATCCATCCATCCATCCATCCATCCATTATTCCTAATGCCTATGCATAAGGAAGGAAGGAAGCACATTTGTGAGCAAACTCATATTATTCTCAATGTATTGATTACTAGAAGCCAGCATGGTTTATCAAGAAGTCTTGCCGGACAAATTAGAGGTGTCAAGTGAAGTGCCATAAGAAACATTTCTATATCTACTTTTCAATGTTTTTATTAATGATTTGGATGAAGAGGCAGAAGTAATTATTAAAGTTGCATATGATATAAAATTGGGAGGGAGAATTAATACCATGGAAGACAGAAATACAATTAAAAATTACTGTGATTGGAGAAATACACTGAAAGCAACGAAAGAAATTTACCAGAGGCAAGTGCAATGTTCCTCACTTAGGAAATAAAAATCCAAGGCAGAGGTGGGGAATATCTAGCTTGGTTAATGATGTTTGTGAAAAGTATCCTGGAGTAGTAGTTGCTTGTAAGCTGAGTATGAACCATCCATGTGATATGGCTGCAGGAACTCTAATTACAGGCTGAAGTTATGTTTAACACCATGGAAGATTGACAAGGAGATAGCGATGTGGTCCCCTTTTCCTCTTTGCATGTATAACATATACCTGTGTAGAAATGATTACTTAGCTGAGGCCATTTGTGTGTAATTATTGTTACTTAGCAGCTTTCTTAGCAAACTTTTCAAATTGCATTGTTAAATTATAAATTCTCTTACCTTTGAGCATTTTATCTGTGTTGCTACTTGGAAGAATTGATGATAGCATGAGTTCTCTAATCTGACATCTGCAGAATAGAGGGAAAGTAGTGGTATGTTAGAAACAATGTCTACAGATATATTTGGCAGAGGGTTAGTTATCTGGGTTTCCAAGTTATTGACAAAATACATCATCACACCATTCCTAGGTGTTCTCTGCTAGGAATCCTGTATCCCTGGCAGCGGGTCAACTATCTGAATGATGACCAATGATGTCAAAAGCCCCCAGATGCTGAACCTTGACACAGACCCAAAGACCCAGAAAGAAAAGTATAATGCAACTGCCAGCTCAAGAGGGTCCATTCTCTGCTGTTTTTTTTGGAGTTCCTGGCAAACTGAAGGGATATGGATTGGTAAATCTTTTTCTCTGTAACTCTCTTAATATTTATTGAAGTCTTTTTAGTTTTTTCTTCATAATTGTGTATTGTTTATTTTTATTTATTTGTGTTCAGTTAATAAAATAAAAATAAAATCTCTCCACTGGATAGAAAACTCCCTTAGCTGCTCTTTTCATTTCAGGAAGTTGTTGCATCTCAGAAGTACAAATTGCTTGAATAAGAACTGGCGGAAGATTTTCTGAATGGGAAATGTTCCCATCATACTGATGGAGAAGACCCTTTGAAAGCTTTTAAAGAATTAGAACAGACACAAGTTTATGCCATTGTCACAATGGTTAGGGGAAAATTAGAGGTTAGGGAAAAGGCAAGCTGCAGTCTAAACTGAAGGTAAAGTTGTTACCTATTTTATTGTGACTACCAAAGTTGGGCAGAGACACATTTTAATTCATATCAACACCATGGCAGTCAAGCTCATGCTATTCACTGAAGGGGCACAAGCTGCATCGTTTTAATGCAAGGAGCAGAACAGGAAAGTTTTCTAGAATCCCTGTCACCAAAGCATATGCATAAGTATGTTCAGAACTCATCAAGGTATTTGGGAAGGTGTGGAGTTTATAACTGTGAGCTAGAGAAAGGTAGTAACCTGGTGCGGACATAATAATAGATATGTCCAACTCTATGCAATAACATAATTCAGATTCAAGTCTACTCAGAGGAGAAACAAAATATTTGCAACCTTGTAGTCTAATGACCAGGAATTCTAAGTTGCCAAGGTGCAGCACGGATGTTGAAAAAGATATGTATGAAGAAAGATACATGTGAAGTGTTAAACCTAATATTTACAAATTAAGGGGGTATAAACTAACTTCATATCTAGTGATAATGTTAGCAGTGTTAACTTTATTTCCGTCAAGATGAGATCTGCTAAGTCAGGAAGCTCTATCTGGGTACAATGTCTTCACATATGTAGAGTTTAACTTTCTGCACTTACAAATCTATTGTCCACTGGGGCAATACAGCAGAGGCACTTTCCTTGTCTAAAATGATTACTTCATGTTTTCTATAACATGCCTCCTACTGGTTGGCCTGATATTCTCAGAGCTTTCATCACTTCTGTTCACAGGTTCTCACTTGACTCATTCACTCTCCAGCAGTATATCATCTACATAAGTCATATTATAGTCTTAAGAAATCAAGTCTCCTATTTATATAGTCAATCTACATTTGCAGAATTCTTGCTTTTCTTTCTTCCTTGGACTGGAAAGATGGGTGAAGGGCACCAAAGCCCTCAGAGTTCTGAAATTCCTTCTTCAAATCTATGGTAATAGGGTTGGGGGTGTTCTTTGCAGTATCATTTGTTCCCACATAAATTAACAGGAAGGGACAATTGTTACTGTACTTGGTAGGTCTTGGAAATTGCTCTGTCATATCCCTGATCCTTGTTCCTGGCAGACAACGTACATCACAAGCTGATAGGCCCAATACATTTATTTTGATTCCCTATAGCAGTGAATTGCCAACTACCAAACTTGTACTGCATCTTTGTCTTCCTATCTTCCATAGTATAACTAATCTTGCAAGGACTTCTGATGTCTGTCATTGCTTGTTACATTTCAGTAAATCATAAATTAATGAGGCAACCTCAGGTCATTTGTAAGGCAAGACTATTATCCAATTCAGTCTGAATTAAAGCACATTTCCTACTAGTGAATTGGTTTCAAAAGTTAAAGCAAGCATTGGTAGTAAAGATGATGGAAAGGATGAAGAATTCCAGGAGATAAATAGAGCATTCCAATCAGGATTCAAAGGGTAAGGCAGAAATACAGACAAGATGAAGTAGATGGTTAAGGAGCCAGAAGAAAAATGTAGCCTGAGGCATGTAAGTATGGATTGTAATAAGTTGTTCCAGTAACACTTGGGACATTCTAAGCCTTTGTCTAAGCATGGCCAATTCCTTTCAGATGTAATTACCTGACACTTCAAGCTACATGTGATTTATGAGCCATGGCACTCATATGTATTCCTTTCTGTCTTCAAGCTGAAAACTGACAAGGTGATACAGGATTGGCATATAATTCAAGAACACAGTCTGTGGGAGCTGAGGCAGAATAGCACTATTTGAAGCAATCCTTTTAGTGCCAGAACCTGAGTTCTCTGCCTCCGTCTGGCTAGCTCCCCCTCCTTATTCTTCCTGCTTATCTGAGAAGAACTACAGCCTGGGGCCAATACACTGTTGTTTTCAAGAGATGCTCAAACATGATCTCCACAATGATCCCATCAACTGATGACCTCCCAACAGTGAACTGGTATGCAACTTCCCTGTAGCAAACCAAACATAGCTATCTCAACTCTTTTTTTCAACAGAGTTATGCATCACAAGGGTGGGGCCTGTATGGAAGGCAATTTTGTTGTCCTGGTCTTCTGAAAATTCTGAAGCCAGATCTCATCATCCCAGAAGAACTTAAACATCACAAATCTTGGCTATATACTCAGCATTTAGAATCTATCAAGAACTTGGGATGTTTGGTGCCAAAGGAACCATAAAACCCCAAAATAGCTATCTGTTAGGGGATTTTTTTTTAAAAAAAAGTGTATTTGTGAAAAGGGTCAAAACTAGCTGCTTTTCGAATCAGCTGCTGGTTACCCTTCCACTTAGTATCTTCTCCAACTGTGACATCTGAAGACAATTCTTTGAGGTTTGCATGTCCAATACTTTCTCCCTCTATCTTGATTGCCTTCATGAATCAAAAAGTAACTTCTACTATTATACAACATAGTTGAAGGAAGGAACTTGTTATTTTAATGTTTCGGTGCTTTTTAAAGGTTTGAACTGTCCTTTTAAAACTTTAAGCCTTTTAAAACTTTTACCAGAAATTGTGAAAAAGAATTTCAAGCAATCTCTAGCTAGATTAATCTAAGAAACAGAAATCTGCATTTGAGCTGGTATGAAATCTCCACAATCTAATTACATTTAGGACAAAACCTTTTATATTTTCCCCACTTTCGGAACACAGAACTGATGACGAATGTGCAGCACTTTTCTTAGCATTGCATAGTCTAAAGGAAGGCTTACAGAAAGATTAGACTGGGAAGTTTTTAAAAAAGCATCCTGGAAGACATCAGTGACAGAATACTTCTTCTGTATTGTTGTACTTGGGCATAACCATAAAATCACTAGGAGCAGGAGTGAGAAACATTAAAAAGGCTTTGATTGCCTGTTTTGATTGCCATTTTGACATCACTGACATCCCCTCCCCCCTGTGGATGCTCCTGATCATCACTTAATGGGGATGTATTTTTCTACTTCCTTGGATAGATTTTAAAAAGCACAACATACATGTGTGTACATTTATTAGGAGATACTTAAATCTTCCTTCCCCTGTAAAGATTATTTTGATTTCTACAGAACAGGTCATGGTCTTTTTTCTAATGTGACACCCTTTAAGTACAGATAGTCCCTTACTTTTTCATCACCGTTGTAACTATGAACTGTCACTTAAATGAGGCAGTCACTAAATGAGAACTACCTGTACTTGCAGTTCCCTCACTCTCTTCTTATAGGTCTTAGTTTCTAATCACCTGATCAACCTCATTTCCACTCTCTAAACTTGTTCTACTGTGTTGAATAGTAGAAAGATTTCTACAAGGCAGGATATGATCAATGCAAAACACAGAGTAAGTACTATTCCCAGTGATTTGGCAATTATATTTCTATTGATGCAGGATAAAATTACAGTTCTTTTCCAGCAACATTACACTGTTGATTTATTCAAATTCTAATCAACTACAATTCCAAGGTTCATTTCAGCCAGGCATAACACACACACCCCACCATCTTTTTCTCCATAGTGAAAAACTTTGCATTAATGTCCGTTACATATTATTGTATTATTTTCAGCAAATTTTTCAAGGTGGTTGTTGTTTTTTTCTATGGTATTAGTTATCCCATCCAATTTTGTGTCATCTGTGTATTTCATAGCCATTCCTTCACCTCCTCATTAATAAAAATGTGAAGGGAACAGAAGCCTACAGCACACCACTTAGTACCTCCCTTCAGTTTGATGAATTAATGAACTCTTTTCAAGAGTCTTGAGCCTAATATTCACATCATCAAGCCCACAATTATGTAGTTTGCTAATCCAAGCGTTCTGAGGTATTGTTAGATATCAAAAATGAGATAAGGTTAGCCTGCCAAGATTTGTTCTTGACAAACCAATGCTGACCTGGCATGAGAAATTTCTGGCCAATGCAACAAAATGGCCCCTTTTGTTTCGTCTGATGCTACTTGATACGGTCTTCTCAAGAGATAATAGATCCATATCTGCTCTATAAGGTTAACGTTTAGAGGCATCGTACTCTTAGAGACAAATGCACAGGTAAACCATGGGGGAGAGCTGCTGTTTCATTCCTTGTTCGGCGGCATCGGGCAAGCAATCGTGGAAAGCAGAATGCTTAGCTAAGCAGACCCACCTTCAGTCGCGCTGGAACTTCCCTTCGCCCCTCAAACCGCGGCACGGCTAAGACTAGCTCGGCTGACAGTGCGCAGGGCGACGACTGCACTTTACTGCGTCCCCAAAGCGGTACCGACATATTTGCACCCAACCAACCTCCCTCCAGCGGAGCGGGCGAGAAACGGTCATCAGAGCGCAGCAACGTCTACCAAGAGAAAATCCGAGTTGCGACCACGCTTTCAGGGCAACGAAAGATCGCCCGTCCCGCTTGCGGCGCCCATCGCATGATACCGCTCACGCCCCGCCAGGCGCCCTGGAACGGCAGAGAAGTTCCCGTTGAAGCCCCGCCCATTTCGCATCAGCCTCCTCTCCGGGTTCGTCCAAATGCCGTGGGAAGCATCCGTGTGCTCCATTGGTTCCGCAGCGGTGACAATTCGGGACCCAACGTTCTTCATTGGATCCCAGAAAGGAAAGAATGCGCTGTCCGATTATTTTCGTAGCTCTTCTGTCATTGGCTGCTTATATAGCGCGGATGCTTTCCTTCCACCGGCGGCGATTGGCCCCGATGTAGTGCTAGAAGGGAGGGCTCTCTGCGTTAACTTTCTCCTGATTGGATTTCCCTCCGAAGCTGTTCGGCTCGGAGACCGTTCGGCTGTTCGGCTCGGCATCCACGGAAGACGCTCAGCAAGGCTGCGTAGCTCGGCTTTGGGGGGAGTGCGTGCGTAACACCGACGAGAGCGCAGCGGCTCCTTCCGAGTCCGGAGAAATGGGGCGGTCGGTTCCGTATTCCCGAAGAGTAATCCGTAGGGGCGCGTAAGCAGAGCGAAGAGCTGGAAAGAACCCTGTGGTCGTATCAAACAGCAACTGAGAGGAAAGAAGCTGCAACGGCCCCGTAATCGCGTAGCGGACAAAGGAACCCGAGCGAAGGGGTGGCGGAGGCGGGGCCAAGCGAGACCCACCGCCAGCAACGCCGCAGCCGGCTGAGTCGGGAAGATCTGCCGCTTTCAGCAGCAGCAGCAGTAGCAGCACCATGGACCGCCCCGCCGTCCTCCAACTGCACTGCAGCGCCGTCCGCCTGAGCCGCCCCTCCGGACGCGATTTCCCCGCCGCACGGGCGCTATGAGGAGAACTCCAGCGGCACTTGGCCCCCGCGTCGACGAGAAAGAGACGGAGTGACGAGGCAGGTAGGCAGGAAGGAAGGAAGGAAGGAGCCCGCTCCTCAGGCCGCCCCTCCCCCCG